CCAGGGAAAGACCACCTGGTGTCCATTGGATAGGAGGCTGGTTCAGTCTCAGAGCCGCTCTGGAAAGTGTGCAGTACAGAAAAATCTGTTGCCCCTGCCGGGAGTCAAACCGCGGTCGTTCAACCCATAACACGTCGCTGTACTAATTGAGCTCTCCCGGCTCCCCGCATGATGACCTATTTGTTAACTAAGAACGGCTGCAGCTTTATGCTAGCTAAATATACAAGTGACATGTCAAGAACTTCATTTGAAAGACATCTCCAATGTAAGCTCCCTCTTATTTTGTCTTCTTCCTCCCACTCACTCCTCGTAAAGTAAAAGTAAAGTAAAGTAAAGTAAAGTAAAGTAAAGTAAAGTAAAGGTATCCGTGTTAGCAGGCCGTGGAGGCCCATAGGGTTGTAAGACGTTTAGGTACCCATATTTTCTCTAGAAAATCGGCTCACAGATGGTGGTGAGGTTGTCAGCCCTTCGCGTCGGGTTCCTAGAGGAACTAGATAAAATCACGAAGCACAGCAGTAACGATAATCTGTGTCACAGCAGAGATTTGAACCTGCCACTTTCTACATCAAATTCAAAAGTGTTTCCGCTTGAAACACATTGCACGCCAAGGAAACTGGCAACTGCAACGCAACCACAATTTCCGGAAATTGTTATCAGCCTGAGTTGAACACATGTTACTGCATGGAACAGCGCATAGCAACTCGAGGACAGACTGAGAAACTCAACTTCCAGGGAAAGGAACATGCCAGTCTTCTCACAGATGCGTTGCCGCGTGGTTTCCTACTGTCAGTCTTCTCACAATTGCGTTGCCGCATGGTTTTCTGGTGTCAGCAGTTCTATAACGCGCTTCAGTGATTCACTTGTTTCTTAAGATGGCACGAAAGGTTGACGAAGCTGCTAATTTTCTTATTGCGCAATTAATTGAGCAAGAGCCTGGCATATATGACAAACGTCACCTAGGCTATGCTAGGCAGGACAAAATAGATTTGCCTTGCGAAAGAATTTCTCATGAGATGAAGGAGTCTGGGTCCAGGTTAAGTTCTTTCGAAACAATATAATAAGTACTATTATAACTAACTTACTATATATATATATGTGTGTGTGTGTGTATATTGTCGCGTATCGTGGGTATATCGCGACAAATAACTTCACGATGTATTTGATGTAGCGAATTTTATTTCACATTCGCACTTACATTCACCCAAATTACAGATTTACGATTACTGCTATCTGCAGAATCACAAATAGTACACTCTCAATGCCAGACTACAACTGACTGGTTGCTGGCTAACTCGAAACTAACTCGAAGGTAGCTCGCGGACTGACTCGTAGGTAGCTCCAGGACTGACTGTGAATAGCCTTCGCTGCTCCTCATGTAGCCTCGATCGGACCATACAGAAAACGGCCACGTAATAAGCACCCTTGTTGCCTGGCGCTGTGTTGCTAGTAACGCTAGCGGTAGTAACCGCTGTTACCACCGTCGTCTCTCGCAATCCTGTTGCGTCACCGTTACATTACCGTGCGGAGGAGGGGGAGGGGAGAGCTGACTCACCCGCCGCGTCACTGCTGGTGGGGGGGTTCTCCTTTGCGCAACATGTCACAATATTATAACAAGGATTACAAATAAATGAAATCCAAATACGAATTCTTAACAAAAGCGAATTCAAATACTCAAAACCCAACCTCTCTACCAGCCAGCACAACTTCCAACCCTTATCCACATCTCACCCACTCCCCCTCTCCCGAACACCCCATCCCTCCTCTAACGTTACCCTTATCCTGGGACAATAAGCTAGCAAACAACAAACTCCGTGATTTTAGTCCGCAAGCGAACTATAACGACTGAGCGACCGTCGCTTGTCAGCTAAGTTTAGTGCCAAATTTTGCGGATAGAGGGTGTCACGTGGTCAGTGCAACGAATCCCCACGGCCGTTAATTTCGGTTTTCTAGACCCGGAGCCGCTATTTCCTTGAAATAACTCCTCAATTATCATCACGAGGCTGAGTGGACCCCGTTCCAGACCCACTACTCCGAAAAAATCTGGTAGCGCCGGGAATCGAACTCGGACCTCTGGATCTGTAGCCAGGAACGCTGACCACTAGACCACAGAGGCGGTCAATAAGCTAGCAACCTCAAACGAAACAGCTTACTGTAGTATGAACCGCATAATGTAAACAGCCCGCATTAACCGTAAGTAGTAAAGAATTATTATAAAGGAATTAATATTCAAAATACTATTATAAAAAATGCAACATAACATATCAGTATTAATACACATAAACATCCATTGTATATCGTCTCCCGACATCATGAGAGGGGGAATCTATCTATTCTCTAGAAGAATGGTGACATTGCGACACTAACATGGCGAGCCTGACGAAGCGTGTGCGCGGTCTACTGCAGTAACAAACTCGCAGCTGCTCGCATCTCATAACATTTTGAAAGATCATTTTTAAATATCAGATTTTGGATTTAGGATCATATATTTATTAAATTAGGTTTAACTTATAACTAATATATACACAAGACGTTCCCAGGCAACGAACCTTCATTCAACGAGACGTTCCCAGGCAACGAACCATCAATGAAGGCTATCCAGTTTCCGGGGTAACATCGTAACTGCCCGGCAAATAAAACGCAACGACTAGTAGAGCAAACGCTATGCAATCATGGATCATAAGTGAAGGAATTAAAGGGGGAAGGTATCTCAATTCCTCGCAGTTGTTGTGCGATCGCTCGGTAAACACGTTCCAAAAATATAGGCTGTATCCTGTGTGGTCGGTGCGGAGGCTATATAACCACAGTCACAGACAAAACAGATGGCAGTATTTGTGGGTGTTAGATTGTGTTTCAGAATATGAGACTGTTTAAGTGACAGTAAGAGTGAGAGAAACGGGAAGTTCATAGAAGAACTGTGAAGATTTAAAGTGTGATTTGAAGGTCTTAATTATGTGCAATATTTGGAGTGATTTGAAGGGCTAATTTCTGTGTTCAGATACGATATCTGGATAGGACCAGTGTTTACCTGTAACAGTGAATTATGAGGTGTATATAAATCAGCGATAGCGCTCTATTTTAAATGCGATTAAAAGAGCGTGTAAAAAGCTGCTATTATATCCAATCATCCGAACTTGAACCCGTCATTTCGTCATGCGTACCCCATACACTTGACGATGTATATATATACTGTCGCGTATCGGGCGTATATCGCGACAAATAAATTCACGGCGTATTTGGTATAGCGAATTTTATTTCACATTCGCTCTCACAATCACCCAAATTACAGATTCACTATTACTGCTATCTGCAGTATCACAAATAGTACACTCCAAATGCCACAATACAACTGACTAGTTGCTGGCTAACTCGGAACTCGGAGGTAGCTCCTGGACTCGCTGACTGACTCAGTACAACTGACTGTGAATGGCCTTCGCTGCTCCTTATGTAACCTCGATAGGACAATACGGCCACGTAATAGGCACCCTTGTTGCCTGGCGCTGTGTTGCTATGTAACGCTAGCGGAAGTAACCGCTGTTACTACCGTAACGTCGCCGCTGTTGACTCGCGTTGCCTAGCGACCGCGATATCCCTCGGTGACGTCACCGCGGAGGGGAGTGGCGGGGCGGGAACTCGCCTATTACCGTAGTAACGCGAGCGTTACGTTACCGCCACGTACCGCTGGGGAGGTAGGGGTCAACATGTCACAATATATATATATATATATATTGTGGCGTATTAGCTCTATGTAGGAACTGTTGAGCCACAGAGGCCTCGGGGCACGCGCGCAACAGGAGAGTTACGGAATATATCGGCGCGTTGCTAGGCGACAGTTCTGTGGACGCTTGCATTGCCCAACAGTTAAGTATGGGCCATGCGACCACGTGATTTTTTCAAAATAAGAGAAGTTCTCGGAGACCGAGTTGCCCGGCAAAAAAACCTTTAAGTTGCAATGGCCTGGTTATGGATGCCGTGTGGGCCTAAGAAGAGGTGTAGAGGGAATAGTGCATAGTTAATTGTATAGGATGACATCTTCCATCGAAATCAAATTCAGTGAAAATGAATTATGGAAATAAATTTACATGACAGTCATTCAGAATATTTACAAACACAAAAAGCAACGTCCATCCACAATAATTTATTTAAATACTGGTTTATACGCCGGTCACTGTAGCCGAGCGGTCTAAGGCATAAACACTCTTCTCTAGCTCCCAAGTCGGAATCGTGGTTTCGAATCCCACGCAAGAAATGGATATTTGGCATGTGTTTGTGTTGTCAGGTAGACTTTTCGACGGGCTGATCACTCGACCAAAGAGTCCTACCGCTTGTAAAATAATCATGCAACTGAAAAATCAGAGGCCAGGGCCCAAGGGGGCTGTAGAACCAGTGAAAAAAATTCGTTTGTTTTGTAGGGTGTTTGGGTGACTGAAGATGCGGTTCGGATTGGTAATTGGTTTTATTAACAACCTACAGGTCGTAGCTAAAATTAATTATAAAACTGTTACTGCACAATCTCCACTAGAATCTGTTCTATCTGCAGTAGATATCACGTATTTATAACAGAGGAGGTATACAAGTCTCACTGAATTACGCACAGACTCACAATGTCACTGCACTATAGCAGTGCAATCCGTAACTCTCCCGTTGCGTGCATGCCCGGACGCCTCTGTGACACAAAAGTTCCTGCATAGAGAAAATACACCACAACATACTTAGAAGAATATGACAATTTCCTAGGAAAATTTTCGATAAACCGCCTGAAAGCCAGAATAGCAAATGAACACGCAGCAGTCTGTTTCCTATGCAACGTTTCGTTAAACACAGACTGAAAACCGTTGTAGCAACGAACAAGAAGAAGTACGTTTCCTAAGCAACGGCTGGCGTTTCCGCTGTAACGGATGCAGGGAACAAATAATCTAACTGTTCAGTGCGGTGTCTTCAAATTCGTCCTCTCGAACTTATAAAAGTGAATTCGCTCACGAATTAACTTCACTCATTCATAAGAGATTTACGAAGGCAGTTCAATAAGTGAATATTCAGCTGTAAAGTGTTAACCAGGTAAGTTTCGTTACCAAACAACGACTAGTAAGCAGAAGTGGAAGACCTTGTTTTGCATGTTATAGATACAGTAATATTTATAGTGTTACAATTATTTTTAATTACGACCTGTGTGTGTCCAATATATTGTGTTTATAGTCCATATATAATATTGTCACGTGTTGGCCGTGTAACGGTACAAATAACTTCACGCCTGTCTTGGATCTAGCGAATTTATTGCATAATTTTATCCACATTTACATATCAGTTTCGGGTATTGAAGAGAAACGGATTTCCTTCCGTTGTTGTTTCTGGTCTTCGGTTAGGTCTCTTTCTTTCCTCTACAAGTTGCCAAGTGTAGTTTGTTCTTATTTCTGGCTCATCTTGGGTGCTATTTTTGTTATTGCTTCTTGATTGGGCTCTGTTAATTGTTGTTTGTTACAAAGGCATCATACTGTTGCTGATTTGTTGAAATTGGTACGGTGGCTTTTGGCCTGTGAATTGCTCTTGCATTTCGTGTTGCTGTGGGTCTATATTACTACCCAGTCCCGGTGCTGTCTACACGACGGCCGCCACACGGCCGCAGCTTCAGTAGAAAACAAATTATTATATTCTAACACAACACTATGACTTCTCAGACAGCTTTTGCTATTCGCTGCTAAGGTATCTCCTAGGAAATGGATTCAAAGCATTTCACAGGAGGTATGTTCAATGCGTCTCCATGGATTTATAAGCGAGTTGCCTAGCGGATACATTCAGAGCACTACTTAAGTCACATTCAACGTATTGCCGTACGTAAGCGCGTTTCATAGGAAACGGTTTCAAAGCATTTCCTAGGAAATAGATTCAACGTATTGCCATGGATTTATACGTAAAGGCATTTCAATCCACTCATTCGTAAGAGATTTACGAAGACAGTTCATTAAGTGAATATTCACCTGTGAAGTGTTAACCAGGTAAGATTCGTTATCAAACAACGACTAATAAGCAAACGTTGAATCCTTCCAGCCGCACTAGGCCTCTAACAGAAATGAGTACCAGGAATTAATTAAATAATTTTCCTGGGGAGTAAAGCGCGGTCGGCGCGTAAGGCTGACAACCTTACCGCCATCTTTGAGTTGATTGTCTAGATAGTGTGGGACACTCAACGTCTCACAACCCTATGGGCCTTCACGGGATGATACAGGGATAACTTTACTTTTTTTTACTTACATAATATATAAATTAATATATTAATATTTCATTGTATCCGTTGCTGAGTGATATATTAGTATATATTTACAAAACGAAACCCCGTCTACAATCACTAATACACTAGATATACTTGTAATCTGCAATTAGTTGCATTAATTCACCAACAGAAGGGAAAACCAACAGTGTTAGCATTAGCAAGGATAGGCACTTAATAAATGATTATTTGTTTAAATATTACCGTAGTAACCCCTGACTTGTGGCCGACAGAAACTGAACATTTCATACCTGTCATTTTATTCAAAGTTCATTTGTATTTCTACACTGTAATAATGAAAATTGGTTTGTCTCTTACCGTAATATGGTTCTCTGGATAATCACTGTAAGCTGCATTTAGTTGCATGGCATTATGTCACCAAAAGTGATAGCACTACCCTGGATAAGTACTTAATAAGTGATTATTTATTGCAGTATTACAACAGTATCTTCTGATCTGTGGTTGAGAGAAGCTGAGCAACTCTTCAAAATTCATTCGTATATCTGTACAGCAATAAGAACATTAGCTTATCTCCTTTCGCAAGGTATGTATATTTAAAAAAGTCAAAATCTAAGTCAAACTGCGACCGACAGTCAGTCAGTGAGTAAGTCTTGGTGTCGAGCCCCATAAGGGGTTCATGACCAGATATTAATTATTAACATTTGACAATTACGGTTTTAATTTTGTGGGGCGCCCTCTCTGACGAGAGGATGGGTCTGACTTTTGCATATGCTGCTGGCCCTTGCCAGAGCGGTATTTCTCGGATCCGTGTCCCTTGGGACTCGTGACCATATTTAACTGTCTCAGATTTGAGATCTCCAATTTCGTCGCCTTCTATGACTCTCAGGGTCACGGTGGAGATATTCGACCCCGAGTATATTTAAGAAGGTGGATCAAAGATTTTATATAGAATGAATTTTAAATATTACATCTTGCTTGAAGGAGGTGTGGAATGCATCTGTGTTTGTTCATCTATGTGTATATGTGTTGGTTTATACATATTTAAGTTTCTGCTTGAATACCAATCTATGCTGCTGTCCACACATCTAATTATCTATGTATCTGTGCATCTATACACATTATTCTTTCACCTACTCTTCTTGATATTCTTAAACAAAATTTTATCCTTCAGTCAATTCATTTATCAAATGTGCTCTCTATCCACCCATTTATTTGATCTAATATTGTCTGTCTCCGATACAAAAGAAACGGGACCTCCAATTCTTAATGGAAAAGCAATCATTCTCAGGTGGCAGTACCGCGGGATCCATGATCACATCATACTCTCTCAGATTCGAGATTCTCCGAACCTGGAGGAAGAGGTCCCCTTATTTATATCTCCCAGGAACACTGGGTTCCATTTTCGTCGCCCCTTAGGTCTCGCAGGGCTACGGTGGAGGTATTCGATCCCACCTACACACAAACCTAATGAAATAGAATGTCGTTCTCACCCTGTGTAACATTTCGTTCAGTCTTAGACACGAACTGCATAGAAAAGACAACGTAAAAGAATTAATTTGTTCCGTGTTATTCCTTGACTAGCAACGGCCGTCTCTTCTGGCTGAACTATTACGTCTCTCAGGCTTTAGGTTATGTACAGAAGCACACGCACAGCAAGGTGACCATATAGGCTTCCCTTCATTTCTCAAAATAAGTAGGTGGGAAAGGCGCAGTCAAGGTACCCGAAACCCTGTCGAGATCAGAACTGAATGCCTGAACTCTGTAACAACTCGCTCAGTCTGTGGTCTTCTGGGAAATAACTCATTGTTTTCTGCTAGGTTCCTACCACTTCTCTTCTGATGTTGGTAACAGCACGTTGTTACGCAACGTCAGATTTAACAAAGCTCCGCAGCCAATCAACTTCTAATCCTCCCCTGCTTTATTCCGCCGTTGCCCCGACAGTGTTTGTTTGATTATACGTCAGCAAGTTTCATGTCGTAGTAGCCAGACATTTTTTGTAAGGAAACTGATTTAGATTGATCTATTACAGATGGGAAACACTTCTTATGCTCAGAAACGTCGAAGTATGAAGACCGGCAGCCCTCTTATGGATCTACGAACTAATGGGAACAAGGTAAGCACACTGACAGGGTGGCACAGACCGTATCTCCCCAGACGTGATGATACAGCGATATATAAACATACACCGTCAAACGTTATCTCATTTGCATGCAACTCTGTGTTTACTAACAAACCAACAAACGAACTATCTCAATGAAGATAAGGTCTGAGTGCAAAGCCGCCGGTCGTTCAGCTACTCAAGAAATCCCCAATAATTTGTTTAACTCCAAGATTCCTTACGGTGTTCACAAGAGCTCGCCATTTTACACTATCCTGAGCGACATGAATCCGGTCCATACAAGTCTATCCTATTTCTCAAAAATAAATTTCAGTGTTATACTCCCACGTAAATTGTAATTATTCCTAATGGTCTCTTCCCTCTTCCATTTTCCACCAGAATGCTGTAAGCATTTCACTTCGACCCATTCTTGCTACAGTCCCTTCCCATCTTATCTTCCTCTACTCTTTTCAGTGAATGTGCCCTGCAGACACACCTTTTTCTTCCATGCGAATATTCCTTTAATAGACTTCATTATATATAAGGAAGGACATCATCAGATTATTACACCAGTACACAGTGTTAACACGATGAACAAGCTCCATTTTCCAGATAATCTGCTAAGCTGTCTGCTACAGCTACCGTTACACTTATGCTATTGGAGTAGAGGCCAGTTGCAGTACGTGTGTTCGAAATGTTTCGTCCATCCATCTCGTAGAAAGGATCCGTTGCAAGCATAAAGAGAAAACATGTTTTTACTGTATATTGGAGTTATGCAATTTTTTCATGCAAATGGGGAACATTACTTGCCATACATGTCAGGTAAAGGGGAGTTTACTGTATAAATGCATCTGATAACTGATTTACATCATGTATTTGTGCCAGGTTCCCGTTCAAGATGATGTAGTACCTCTAAGGAAAGTGGGAGACCTTACTCAAGTGCCCAAGCAGGAAGTTGAAGGTAAGTACGTAGTAATATGCTAAGATAATGCTGTATTGCTATAAATCCTTATGTTTGAGCACTAAATATAATTTGTTAAGAAAAGAATAAATGCATGAATTTCCGCGAAGTGTAAGTCGCCAGCTGTTTTTCACTACACGTTAAATGTTTGATGCATGAGAAACCGCACGTAAAACTCCGCCGGAATATGTTAACTTAGCCGTTGCGTAGGAAGCGCTGTCTCCACTGTTATTGCTTGTCAGGAGGGAGAGGGGACAGACTGTAGTGTTACCTCAGAAGTCTCCTTAATACTGTATTGCTGTCAGGAGGGAGAGGGGACAGACTATAGTGTTACCTCAGAAGTCTCCTTAATGCTGTATTGCTGTCAGGAGGGAGAGGGAACAGACTGCAGTGTTACCTGAGAAGTCTCCTTTTGCTTTACAAATGTAAGAAAATTAGATCAATAAGGATGAACGGTAAAATAGTTCCGCCGTAAGAAGCTTCCTAACACGGCACCTTCTCTAAGCGTTCAGCAGCCTAGTCACCGTGCCAATCGCCACGACTCAGTTGTCTCCACGGTTAATTCTCTCGCAGTTAACTCAAAACTCTTCGGTTTCCCAGAGTTTCATTTGCTCGCGAGAACACACATATACACATAAACTTTACTGAGTGCTATTCTGCTCAGATATGTATTCACTAATGCTTAAACAGATTTTCATGTTCGTGTAGTAATGCAGTTATACTGGGGCCAATATGATATATTGAAAGTCCAAAGAAAAGTTCAGTATTTATGTGTTGATCACTATTAAATTAGCATCACAGATCTGTTTCAGGTTCTAACTGCTTTTTCGTACACTATGATTATAAGGAAATATAGCTGTCTGTTCCATGTGAATGAGAAGGCTGATCCTCGTATAAGTGTTCATCGCATATTATAACGTGTATGTGTGTGTGTGTGTGTGTGTAGACAGCCTCTGTGGTCTAGTGGTCAGAGTTCCTGGCTACATATCCGAGGTCCCGGGTTCGATTTCAGGCGCTACCATTACCATTATGCTATGAAATTATCCTGAATCCTGGGGATGAGACATCTACATATACTTAGATGTCCCTTCGTTTGTTTCCAGCTTCCATTTTGTTAAATTAAGTATTTCTTAATTTTCAGGTAGTTCTCATGCCTCTTCCCAATGTGTTAATTTCCTATCTAAAGGGCTCTGTCCTCTCTCTGAGACTGGTGTTGCTTAGCTCTTCTTAGTTTCGATCTGTCCCTGAATGTTTCATATGCGATCGTGTCCTTACATGCGTCACTGCATCACATTTTATTGAATGAAATTGTAAATGCACAAAGAATCCTTTCGTGAGTGTGAAGTAATGCGTTTCTTTGCTGAAGTAACGAGTATGATGGCAGTATAACTTCGCATATCCGACGATAACTTGCGTTTATTTTTGTTTAAATACTTATACAACCTCTGGAGTTACATGGCGGTCACTATCAGTTGGGCATCATAAATATGGTTCAAATACTCATCGATACATGTGGTCTAATTTTTGGGTAATGAAACCTGAGTTTCCCATCCTAATGGAAATATTTACCCTTACCATCAAGGCAGCGAGGATTGCGAAACTGTTGGAAAAATACGTAAGTGCTTACGAGTTCGGTAGTAACAAGAAAAGCGGTAATGATAGAAGGGGGCACGCGATAGCGTAGTTGGTTGAGGCACTATGCTACAAGCCGGATCGCGGGATCAAATCCCGAGGTGGATTTTTTCAATTTACCTTATCCTTCCAGCCGCACTATGGCCCTGGGTTTGACTCAGCCTCTAACAGAAATGAGTACCAGGAATATTCCTGGGGGGTAAAAGGGCGACCGGTGCGTAAGGCTGACTATCTCAACGCCATCTGTGAGCCGATTGTCTAGGAAATGTTGGATCCTCGACCCCTCACAACACTATGGGCCTCCATGGCCTGTTACAGGGATACTTTTACCTTTACCTACCCAAACTGATAGGCGTAACGTGATGAGCTGTGTTCACTTACTTTCGTCATACACCATGACGTCATTAGGAGAAGTGGAGTGGTAGCCCCACGTAGCTTGACCTCGATAAATTTGGTTGTGAGTGCAGTTAACGCACGTTCCGCTTAAAGCCACGTAAGTCGTGCCCTGTGCCAAGTTCATACAGTACCGTTTGAGCCTCATCGTAGGTCTGGAAGCAGAGAAGAAGATAAAGTTCTTTCTTTGACGTAGTTAAAACCTTCCGCCCAGTCCGTACACCGCTGCTAGATATAACTGAGTTGTCCGACGCAAAAAATATATTATTATTATTATTATTATGGAAAACGGGAAGCTAAAGGAAGGAAAAAATGGAAAATTGTAACATGATGTCAGAATGAAGGGCTCCATGTTTTCACCACGTCTTTATATCTCTTCCACATATGACGTGAAAAGAAATTCTTCCATCATGACTCTTGCATAATGTTGAGAGAATGAGTAATGGATCAGTATCCAAAGTTCCTTCCAAATGAAGCATTACAGTTGGGATGAAATATTGAATTACTAGTCGGCTCGTTCTGTTGCAGAAACTCAGGTAAGGGCCAGCCGGGCGAGACCTGTGCAGGCGTCTCAGAACGCCAGGGGACAACGGCGTGTTGGGAGACGTCGTATTGTGCACTTTCCTATTCCCGATTACAGTGACGTGAAGCCCAAAGTTGACAGTTGGAGGAAGAACTGGAGAAGTGGAGACAAAACAAGTGAGGTGAGTTGTACGGTGAACTGTAGCGTGGTTCAGATGTATGGAAGAAACCTGCCTGGTACAGGCTAGAAAAGCTGATTCTATTTGCTTCATCCTGGATTTATGCCTATTTCTCTGAAACTGTTAAATCATGCAAATCTCAATCATTGGTTGACTATCACTGAAAAAAGTATTGTCATATTCCAGAAGGTACAACACTTCTTAAAAGCCGCTGTGTGAAACCTCATTTCTCTGTCTTTCATTTCAGTTTTGAATTCATTACTGCCAGTCTCTCATTATGGTTTGAACCTACAGCTTAGTATCGCTTTCATACCCTGCAAACTTCAGTGTATGCAATTCAAACACACTTGTGTGCTATCTATTGTGCATCAAATTGTAGTTGATCTGAATTGTAACTAGGTATATATATCTGTATGTGTGTGTTTGATTTTGGCACATCATACACACCATTCACTCGCATAATATCAGATAACCTTCATAACCTTGGAACCTACACTAATTTCTGCAAATACCTTAATTGTAAGATTGTATCTATTGTTACAAGGACCCTTTTAAAGAAAGTTGTGGGAGGACAACGAATCACGTGCAATATGTTTCTTCCTGTGCATTACGAGGCTTTTGAGAGAACAGAACAATTACATCTGTATCTGTATTAGTGTTTCTATTTTGATTGGGAATTTAAATGTATTGAGACTTGTAGGCTGACAACTTAAATAGTGCAATTTTGTTAACTGAATTATATTTCTTGTCATTCAAGGAACAGTGGCAACTTAGTTCAGATGCCACCCAACCAGAGAAAAGGGGGGGGGG